ACTTTAAAGCGCCAATGTGCATGTGAATTCTCCATTGCTCAGTGCATCTTTGCTTCAGCTGAATGAATTTCCAGCAGAAAAGCTCCATCTCAACTAGGAAACATGACTTAATGCAGCAATTGTTGGGGGAAATTATCGATGGCTGTGTCATGCATGAGGTCAGTGCCAGAACAGAATTCCCTCTTTCACATACACACCAAAAAAAAGGGAGAGAGAGAGATGAGTCTCTGTGGCCTCAAGTTTTGGGGTCTAAATGTCACATTTGCCACTCAGCCCAAACGATGGCAGCAGCAGAGCTGGAACTCCAGTGAGCCTCAGTGGGTCCAAAATTGCTGTGTCCCTGTGGCTGTAGCCACATGTTTCCTCACAGTCCTGTGGCTGTCTGCTCCACTCTCTGTTGAAATGAGAGAGGAGACATGGGAGTGCTCTTCCCCAAGCTCTTGGGCAGTGGGAATGATCTGGAGAGCAGAGCAGAGCGGAGCTCTGAGAGGACATAGCTGGTGCCATGTGTGCCTAAACATCTCCTAGAGAGAGGAGAGAGCTGCAGACCCTTAAGGCAAGAAGAGGTGGGCACTGACCAGTAAAACAATGGTCCAGTGGTGGTGTTGGATTGGAAAATGGAGTGTTCTTGGCTTCTGGGAACCTTTGCAGCTGAACCAGCTCTTGGAGCTCAGCTGTGCCCGACGGTGGTGGTTGGATACCTGGCCAAGTCCAGGCAGGAATCTGGACTTCCACATGCTGTGGCTGTCACTGTTCCCAATTCCCATGGGGATCAGAGTTTCTTTAAAGGCAGAGTAGAAAGGAGCTGTCTGTTGGCTGGGGTGGTGTGGGACTTGCTTTTCTCCTCTGGTTGTCAGTACAAACCCTCAGTCTGTCGTCAGCCTTACGTGACTGTTTGACATGCCTGTGCTAATTTTTTGCCCATGCTTCATACCCCACATCTTCACCTCCAGGGCAGCCGAGCTCTGCCAAGCTCCAGCCTGGCCCTCAGGAGCATGTGGGAGAGGCAATAATGAGGGAAAGCCAAGCCCCAAGGCAGGGAGCTGGGGGCCTTCAGCAGCCACACGAAACGAAGGCTCCAGCAGCAGCTCCCACCAGAATTGAGGTCACCATCCCAATCCCCCTGGATATGTACCAAGGCTCCAAAGCATCTGAAGGCAGCAGTGAGTCGTGGGATCATCCAGGCAGAGAAGGCACTGGTGTGGAGCCAGAGCTGGGTCGTGGTGTGCACACCGAGGGGTTGGCAGGAGCAGGTGGAGCAGGTGACCCTAAAGATGGATCATCTCCTCTGTGTACCTCGTTCAAAGAAGATTCCAGTGGGCAGGAGAGAGATGAGGACCGTGATATTGATGAAACTTCCCAGCAGGATTTGCTTTCCCATGTGTCACCAGGACCTGAGAAGGGTTTATGTCCAGCAACAGCCAAGGAGACCCTTAGAGAATATGATGAAGAAAGTAAGTCCAAAGATGTCCTCAGGGACACTTCAAAAGAGGCACTTCTTCTTGAAACTGAGTCACATAAAGCAGGAGAGGACCAAGAGGAGAAGAGACAGCCAGTGGAGAGTGAGGGAGGTACAGACTCCCCAGCAGAGCCTTCCGAAACCATCTCCCCAAAAGAAGCTGAGCCCAGGGAGGGAGAAGATTCTGGACCCTTGCTAGAAACAGCCAAACTCCCTGCTGAGTTAAAAGGTGATATGGAAGACAAAGAGGCTTCTCCAGAAGAGGTTGTGCCAGACACAGGAGAGTGTCTGACCCCCAGGAAGAAGCCCAGTGCCCACACTGCAGATAAAACCAGTCGTGTCCCTCTCCTCAAAGGTGTGTGCCCCGTTCGCTGCCCTCAGCTCTCCTGGCTTGCTCCAACAAGGCTGCCTGAGCCAGCTCTGCAGCTTCCTGCTGCTTGGAAATGGCCTGGACCTGTGCTGTGAACTGATCTACGAGGCTGCTGCTCCTCCCTCCCTCTCCTTCCCTCTTTGGTTTCATCCTGGCGTTCCTGCCAGACCCTTGCGCTTCGGTTTTGCGTCCCTTGCATGGTGCTGGCGTGTCCCCAATCCTGCTTTTTTCACCCATTTTGGTTTGGATTCCCTTGGAGCTGCTGGGTGGGTGCCTTCACTCACCCCTGGCACCTTCCCAGGGAAATGAAGCCCGGATGGAGGTGGTTCTGGCATGTTGGAGTGAGGCTAAGCTGGCGCTGCGGCTCGTTCCGGCAGGACACGTGCCATCTGGTTTGCATGTCTGAGCCAATAACTCTTGGAATTGGCTTTCCTAAAGAGGAGGGAGGAGGAAAAAGGCAAGGATGGCAGGTCTAACCATGGAAAAAGCCACACACTGATCCTGTTTCTTGTACTTTTCCCTGAAATATCCACTACTGACTGCTGCTGGAGGCAAGGTCTGCAGCTAGCTGGAGCTTCTCCCCTGCCAGGCATGTCTGATGCTCTTCCAAACCATCCTGCTCCTCTCCCAGCCCTGGATGCCATATCCCTGAGTGTCCAACACAGTGCTGGGTCGGGGGGATCTGCAGGAGCTGCCTGTGTGTGTGGAGCACTAACAGTGTGTGGGGCTGGGCTGGGAGGGCAGTCTTGGGTGAAGGTCTGAGTTCCTTGCTGAGCATCCCTTAGACCTTTCCTTTCTCCAGGGCTCTTTTCCACCTCTCCTAGGGCTCAGTGGGGTGTCACTTAGGGCCCTGCTCTGTGGCCAAGGGCAGGTTTTGCCATGATTTGTGCTAACAGGGACAGCAGGACACACATTGGTGTGTCACCGTGTTGTACCTCAGTTCTGGCTATCCAGTGCCTGCCCCAGGGGAAGATCTTCCTCTTCCCTCAGTGCCACATCCCAAAAGCTGGCTTGGCTGCTTCCATCAGCTCTGGTTTGCAGCAGGGAGAGAGTGCTCTTTGCTGGGTGG